CAGTATAAAGATCACCAAAATTGTAGAATTTGGATCCCTTCAAATTTGTTCTGCCAAAATCTTGTATCTTTGTGCGCTGTTCATTTTGACTGGCGGTTCAAATGTGATAGCTTGTTGATTTTTCTGTTTGATGATAGCTTGGATTGAAAAATTGACCAGACCAACTTTATCTACTTATCTAGAACTAGTCATCTTCTCTATAGTCCCATCTTATTTATAACTACTAATTGTGATATCCTTTGTTTGTTTATCTTATATACAGGCAGCCAATTTATCTGAATATCAAGACCCTGCCTAGATTTGACTTGTCAGACAGTGGCTGACATGATAAGGGGAAGACTCCGAGGAGATCCGCAAGACATTTAACATCAAGAATGACTTCACTCCTGACGAAGAAGAGGAGGTTCGCAGGGAGAATGCTTGGGCATTTGAGTGAAAATCAAGCGAATATGCAATATTGCTTAGTATGATAGGATTTCTATTCGTATTAGCTTTGCATATTTCATTTATGTTAGTAAATATATGGTATCATATACTGTGAAGACGACTTTACCTCCTCGTCAAGGTATTAACAAAATTTGAACCTTCCTATTATCTTGGTCTTTTGTGTTTTGCTATCTAAATTGAGCATGTTGGTCTTTATGCCTTCGTTTGGGAGAGTAAATTTTTTGACTTTTTAGTTTTTTTTGGCTATTTTAGCCTAGGAGTTTTTTTGGTTTTTTTTTACTTTTGTGAGAGAGAATAAAATGATAATCTGGTTTAGATGTGATATTTTGTCTTATTAGATTAAAAAGTTTATTTGTCTTTTTGTAGCTAAAATAGTCCCAACCCAACTCAACCCAAACCTTCATGTCAAACGAACCCTATGTTAGTTTTTTCAAATTTTGCAAAGTGTGGTATTTAAACAAATTTGTACCTTTATTTTTTGTGGTGCCAATTCTTAAATGAACATTGCCACAGAAAATTAGCGGCATTTTTCAAGCTCAACGATGTGGTATTCAATTAGGATATTAAAGCAATATTTTTCTCATATTTTTTTTAATTAATCAATTAATCATATAACTTAATATATTATTGGTCTAAAAAATAGGTCTAAAAGTGAATTTGTATATTCATTTTCTTCTTAAATTTATGCCATGTTGGTCTTTTTTATATCAGTTTATTGATATCATGTGTGTCTCTTGCCCATTGTGGTATGTACCTCGTCACTAGTAGATGAATGATTCCCTGGATAGGTTAATAGTTGTTTCTCTCAGTATTCTATTGAGTTTGTCTTGCGTCGATTTGTATAGAACACTCAGGGTTAGCTTGACTATTAGGGACTGATAGGATCAAGATAGGTTGTCTAGTAACCTGTGGATGACTCAGGGATGAACTTGCAGATCTCAGGTTGAAAGTAATCAGGGTGGTTGTTGGAGTTTTGTTTAAGCAGAAGATTTCCTTGTGTGCTCCACTGATGTCTAATGGACATTGTAGTGTCAAGGTCATCTACGCAGTCTCTTAGGTAGTGTTTGGATCACCCCTCTTTTAATTAATATTTTGGTTCACTAGAATGAATGTGAAATTGAACTGTGCTCCTCTTTTGTGCTCTACTGATTTGTCTAATGGAGACATTGGTAGTATATAATATATCAATCATGCAGTCTCTTAGTGTGAACAAATAGAATGGTTTTATTTTATCTCGCTTATGGATGATGAATCATTTCTTTAGTTCCATTATATTTTTTGTGAACCAATTGTGAAAAGCCGCTAGACGTTATGATAGAATCATCATTCATTTCACATGAAGTGACTCAAACACAAACTTGAGATTATTTGTTTCCTTTGAAGATTGATCGTGGATGCATTTTGTGAGGATTGGTGGTTTTATTTATCAAATTATACCTGATACTTTTTAGAATAGTGTTTTGAACTACCTGTGTAAGTAGTATTTTAGAGGCCTATCCAGGAGTTAAAAGTGTGTAAAAACTGAGAATGGCCGAATGCTGTAGGGTGCTTCACAATATTAGTCTGAAGTCGGAATTGGATTGATTGTAACAGGGGCAAGGTGCTTCTCCACTGCTCCCCATATTTCTGTAGGCAAAAGATAACAAATTTTATTGTTTTTTATATAATAAATTTTCCCTACATAGTGTTATAGTACAGGGTGAATGTTCTTCACTAACAAGTTCTCTTCTATTCAATGGTTACTTACCCAAAAAAAGTTCTCTCTATTCAAAGGCTGTTGAGCCACTACAAACTTTTAAGTTATCTGCCGAGAATTTTCTCTAAGAAATCTTATTCTGGTACTAATTTTTAAAACTGG